AACATGTAGAGTGTACGTTTCCATGTACCAGTCTCCTGGCTGACAGGTATGACTTCTTTAGGAACTACGCCAGAAAGACTGATACTAAAAGTACAGTTATGTCTAATCTTTACTGCCTTACTATGATTAATACAATAATACAAAAGTACTTTTTCAATGTATTTTAAATGGCCTAATTATTATGTGTAATTGAATATTTGAGAAACCACAAAGTGATGGTTATATTTGGCATCTCCAAAAAAGTAAAAACTCACTGCTATCCAGTTGATTCTGACTCACAGTTACCCTATGAGACAAGGTAGAATTGCCCCAAGTGGGTTTCTGAGACTAGCTCTTTACAGGAGTAGAAAGCCTCATTTTTATCCCACACCACAGCTGATGGTTTCAACCTGCTGACCTTGCTGTTAGCAGCCCAATTTGTAACCACTATGCCACCAATGCTCCACTGAGTCAATTCCAACTCACAGCAACCCCATGGAATTGGGTAGAACTGCCCCTGTGGGTCTCTTGAGACTGTAACTCTTTATGGGAACAGAAAGCCTCATCATTCTCCCTTGGAGCAGCTCATGGTTTCAAACTGCTGATCTTGTGGTTAGCAGTCCAGTGCACAACCCACTACACCACTAGGTTATATATTTTCCATTTTCACCTCTCATCATAAATCCATTCTAATGGATACTCATTTAGAAACTGGGAATGATTTTGAGTTTTCCTGAAGACTACTGGAATACATATTTTCAAACAATTAAGGAACCCAGATTTAAAGTTAAATTACCTTGCTTGGGGGTATAATTTTGTTTACTATTTTTACTAATATATAATTGGCATACCATTAATATTTCCTTTTTTTGTTTTGTTTTTTCTACCATTAATATTTTCATAACATAAAACTAATGTTTATTATCATGAAATACCTCTGCAGATCTAGTGACTTGCTATTCTTAGGTCCTCCTTTTAAGTAGTATGCTTAGAAATAATTTATTCTTAGTGCTTGTTGATTTGTATATAGAAGGAGCACAATTTGGCAAGTACCATATCTTCTGTCTAGCCAGTATCAAATACTTCCAATGAGAAATGATCCTATCTAGCCATGGGATAAATCCAACAGTGTTTATGTTTGGGGTCCAACATATTCCATCCGCTAAAACAGGATTGGCCAGTGGGAGAAACATGTAATTGGAAAACTTGAATGGGTGCAACCCTAGTACATCTGGATTTTTCAAAACGTTCTCACATAGTTATAATCTAAGAAATAGTTTATATTTGGTTCATATGTATTTTGAAAATTTCAATGAACAAAATTGGAGAGGTATTAGGAAATTTCTTACTGACTTTGTAAGCAGCTTTGAACTGTCCGCATTATCCAGATTAAAGTATTTCTTCCTCACTAGATTAGAAGCTACTTAAGGGCAAGGGCTACTTGTATATTATCTTTTTGTCATACCACCTAAAACCCAGTAGACAATAAATAAATATCCGTTGAGTTGAACTGATCTTGGTGAGTGCAATTGAATCAGATTAAGCAGGAGTTTATGTACTATAGATTGGTTGACAAAAAAATTAATTTTGAAATTTAAAATAAACTAGACACATTGCCAGAGAGAAAACAAGCTCTACCAATATTACTATCCTCAGGTATATGGATAAAGTACGTTTCCTTTCCAGTTAAGGTGCGTAAAGCTGAGATAGCTGGTAGTTTAATCTCAGCCAATTAGCTCTGTGCTTGACCCTGTTTAGAAATTGACAAGGAGGGAACACACACTGACATTCCCAAGTCACCAAAAAGGCTGTAACCTCTGGGGAAATATACATATGTAGTCTATATTCCAGCCCAACACTGTCAGTGTATCTCAGCGTAGCAGAAAAACAAGCAGAGAAGTTGATGTTGAATGCAGGGTAAGAGTTGCCTATCCTATTCTGTAACCATGGTTAGAGCTGAGGATAAATTTCAGAAACCAAACAATGAAGAGGTTTTAACTTCTCTAATGTGCATGTGTATGCACACTTAGGCACTTTTATTAATAGTATGATTTTGCTAATGCACGGAGAAAATCCCATGTTCTTTTTATTCCTTTTTTACCATGAACTTTTTGAAGTCCCCTCATAACTTGGTCAGTTAACATTATCTTAACATCAAAAATAAAGGTTCCGTTTAGTTTTGACCAAAATGAACTGCAAATACTTTTTTCACGAATATATGGAGGTGAGGTATAAGCCACAATTAGGATGTTCTCTTCCCCAAATGGGAAGAACATTTGAATTTCAAGCTATTAAATCTGTATAAATCTGTTGACTCCGTTGGAGAAACCTACCCTAAGAGATGATTTAGAAATGTGTTCCTAATCGACTACACGTTCTTAGGAATTCTGGTGGCATAGTGGTTACATGTTTTGGGCTGCTTGCCACAAGGTCAGCAATTTGAAACAATCAGCTGCTCCTTAGTAGAAATACAGGGTGTGTTCTACTCTCATAGAGTTACAGTCTGGCAACAAATGTACAAATGTGCTTGACACAATAGATGGATGAATTGTGATGAGTTGTATGAGCCCCCAATAAAATGATTTAAAAAAAAAGAGTTATAGTCTCAGGCACCCATAGGGGGCAGTTCTACCATGTCCTATAGTATCACTATGAGTCAGAATCAACTCGATGGCAATGAGTTTGGCTTCAGTTTTTGGAATTTATACTTTATCAGGAATAATAAAATTTAACAGTAGTAAGGTACAAAATATAACTTAACAAAAGGAAAATAGTCTGTAATAACAATTTATAATCTATCAGGGAGCCGCAAGGGTTGGGGCGGTGGGGGAAGAGCTCATCCTAAGTCTCGATAGAAAGTAAATGTCTAGAAAAGAACGATGCCAATATATGTACAATTATGTCTGATACAATTGATATATAGATTGTAATAAGAGTTTTTAAGAGCCCCCCAATAAATTAATCTTTTAAAAATTAAAAAAAAGGAAAATAGTCTACATGGAACTTGTAACCGTAACTCTACTGGTCAGGAAAGAGACAAGCTGTTGGCAGACATAGAAGAATTCAGTTAATAATAAAACATGAAAAAATGTCCAGGCCTTACCCCAGCCCAGAAGAAATAGTCCCCAAATTATTGACCTTCCTTTGCTGTGATCCATGTTCACCAGGAAGCTTCCTGTTCACTAACTGTTTACCCTAGATAATTCTACCTCTAAAATTTAATACAGTCACAATGCTAACTTAGAAAATTCAAGGTTTCTTAGTGGCAGGTGGTGTCTCAATGTAAGGATATGTAACCCCCATCTATATTACATGATGGGAAGGCCCAGCCTTGATCCCTCTCATTTTTTCACATCCACCCTCACCTTTCTCATCAACTTCTAACTGTAACACAGGTCACCACAATCTGGTAAATGTCTGTATCCACCTGAAAAATAAAATCACAGGCCACATATTTATAACCAACCAAATGAAAATGGCTGTGGTACTAGAGTAACAACAGCAACGCAATTAGGAAGAAAGGCATTTTATCACTGGAAAACTTTGTAACTCATCTTTCAATGCCCAAACAGCCTACTTCCTACTGAAGTAGGTCAGTCACCCTCCTACTCCACTCATAAGAGATACTCATTATTTAGAGGATAAAATGGGGACTCAAATATAGAGGTTTGAGGTGTGGTCTGATTTTACCCAGATTCAAGAGAGCATTAAAAATAAAACACCTACCCATTTACAGATATAATAGGGGCATAGAAATGAAATTACTTCAGCGATGAGAGGGAAAAAAATCCAGAAAGGGGAGGGACAAGGAATGCTACTAGATTTCTTCAGCTGTATTGGGAGGGGGGGTATTAACGTCTGGATTTCAAGATTACAATAACAAATGCAATGTATAGCCCTTATATGGTGCCTATTCAAGCAAAAGGGAGCCTTAGTGGTATGGTGGGTTATGTGTTAGTCCTATAACCTCATAATCAGTAGTTAAAAACCACCAACTGTTGTGAAGGAGAAAGAGGAGGCTTTCCACTCTCATAGTTATAGTCTCAGAAACCCCTGGGGACCATTCTACCCTGTCCTATTCAGTCAATCTGGGTCAGAATTGACTTGATTACGGTGAGTATAATATAGTCAAGCCAAGAAAAATATAACTGAGTATTTGATATGACACAAACTTTTTTAGTTATGATAATAGTATTTTATGTCCTTTTTCTAAAAAGACCACGTATATTTCAGAACTACCTAGGGGCTTCAAAATCTTTGTGGATAAATAGAATTATAAAATAATGGAATTTTTCCATGAATTTTTGAAGTCCCTTGTACATATTAGTTTTGGATTGAATTAAATTATGTAACTGGAAATTATTCCAAAATAATCAGAGGGTGGGGAAGGGAAGAATAGGTAGGCTATAAAAGAAGTAAAATTGGATACAAATTGAACCAGAAGGGTCTATTATACTATACCCAACCCATTGCTATCAAGTCAATTCCAATTCATAGTGACCCTGTAGTCCAGATTAGAACTGTTCTTGAGGGTTTCCAATACTGTAAATCTTTATAGGAGCAGATAGCCTAATTTTTCTCCCAACACCTAGCCATCAGCTCATTATTTCCTATCATCCAAACTTACTGCCATGGAGTCAATTCTGACTCATAGTAGCCCTATAGAACAGAGTAGAACTGACCCTGTGGGTTTCCAAGACTAATTCTTTACCAAAGTAGAAAGCCAAGTCTTTCTCCCTCTGAGCTGTAGTGGGTTTGTATATTTCCTATAGTGAAAAGTTAACCTAACGCACAAAAAAGCCATGGGGTGATGGGATAAAATTGCTAGTCTAGCTACAAGCCCAGTTAAAGACTATTGATTCTTTGTGGGAGCTGGCAATTAAAATGGCCAAAACTATCCTTAATCTTGCATCATTAGCCTAAGAAAGGGCATCAAGTTCCCTGAGTTTGGTTACTTACCAGGTACCTAGTTTTAACTTGAGTTTTAAGAAAAACTAAAATAATTTCTGAAGCTAACAGCATTTTAGCATCTGTTGAATTTATTCAGCATAACCAGAGACAGTGTCTTCATGCTGCCATACAGAGATACAAACACGGAATTACAGCACAATATCCATGTTTTTCCCCAAGTGCATTCCTTCTGGGGATCATTTATATGTTTTCATATGCCACAGCCCATCATTTAAATAATGGATATTTTCTATGCCAATTCCTTTGTTGACTTTCTCACTGTGAAAGGAAAAGAAAACAAGTAATAATAATTATGTGCATTTTATATGCCCTTAGATAAAGTACATGCTATTTTGAAATTATTATGCCACAGATAGGGAATTTATTTGTATTACACATATTACCAATATAAAACTATATTGCTCCTCTGCAATTCATTTGCTAGTGATTCTGGTGATCCAACTAGTGATAGAAGCAGAGTTATAGTTATAGTGTTACATGAACCTCAAAACAAAATAAGTAGGAATAATTTAGTCATCAAATGGGTTGTTTTAAAAATATACTGCCTGTATTTTGGTTCCATATATTGAATGTTAGTTTTCCTAATGCTATCTTCCATATACCACTTGTACCAGGTAAACAATGCTGGCATAGTTGGTTATTTGTTGGGCTGCAAACTGGCAGCTCAGCAGTTGAAACCCGTTAGGTACTCCTTGGGGGAAAGATGAGGCTTTCTACTTCCATAAAGATTGACAGCCTCAGATACCCACAAGGAGCAGTTGTATGCTGTCCTGTAGGGTCTCTATGACTCAGAACCAACTGGATGGCAGTGAACTTTGGCTTTTTTCTTTTTTTGCAGGGTGGGGGTGCTGAACTATGTGGCAATGAGTTTGGATTTTTTCCTTTTGTATTTGTTCTTTTGGTAAACCAGGTTGCCATTTTAAAGACTCACAGATAAACACCTCCCCCTGCTCAATTTGAGCCTTCTTAAATGTTTGAAAGTACTACATCCGATATGTCAAAAAGTTCACACGCTGGGTTTATTTAAATCAAAATGCATATAAATATGTCCCTGCTTTAGTCTTCTTAATGTGCCTTCAAAAAAAAAAAAAAAAAGCCCAATCATAACAGTAGCTTCAAGAGATCTGCTGGCCCATTTAACTCAAGAAGCAGTTAAGAAAATTGAAAGCGGTACTTGTAAGGCAGGAAGAAACCTATGCTGTGGAATTGTCCATCACAATAAAGCACCTGTTTGTTCTTACCATCCTGATTTTACCCCTTCAGACTTTTTTTTGTTTCCCAGACCCAAAGAAGACACAACATGCCAAAACCACCATTTTGACCTGTAAATCAAGCATCAAATTTGTTAGGGAAGAATTAGGGATATAAGCCTCTCACAAGTGTATAGACTGAGGTGGAGGAATATGCGAGAAGCAATAATGCCTGTCTCTATGATCTTTGTAGCAAAATTTTTTGTTGCTTAACCCTCATACATAGAAAAAATAGTACTTGGGTACTTTTCACTCAATCCTTAAAATAGGTTCAAATGGCTTCCCTAAGTGTTATCAAAAATTGATAACTTGCAATAATCGATAATAGATACTTGCAAGATGTGCAAATTCCACCTGTAATTCTGATGCTACCTGGGTAGGTTAGCTGAGAAGCTAAGGGGTCTAAATTGAGACTTACATGTCTTCTGCAGACATCTTCATGACTCCAACACACAGAGCATGCTGTTTTCCTTCTGCCATTATTGCCTTGAAATTCAGCACAGCTAAGAAAATCTCTCTTGAAACAGCTTTATGTGGGAGGAGAGGGATTAAATAACAATCATGTTGCTAGTTAGGTGACTTTGAGCCCATCTTGTGACCTCTCCTAGATGGCTGACTCTTTGAGGGTAGAGACCTAGCAGTCTCTGGGCCCATAAATGCTAAAAGATGTGTCATTAAAAAAAGATAAAATGTCTTGCATGTAAACATTAAAAATTGAAATAAATATCAATTGTTCTAGTACTTTAATCATAGAATGGTCATCTAATGCAAAGTGTAACAGTTTCAACCTTTCGAGAACAAAGAGAATGTTCTTGGTTATCATTTGAAGCTTCTGGAATTAGTTAAACACAACACTACGGTACATATTGAAAAAATAACAGTTCAAGTATAAGACAGGATTGCTCTGTTTTTGCAACTTTCTATATACATCTATAATTACTGCTGAATAAAAAGTACTTTTTAAGTGGAAAAATTTTCCAATCTCTATTAAACTTCTGACCTATAAACTTATCAACACTTAGAGAAAACAAACATAAAAAGGTGACTTGTTCTCACAGAATATTTTTATTCATTGGTTTTAATCCATCCTTTCATTTAATGTTCCTGTTAGCGCTGGTTGTTCCTACTTCTTATAACTACTGCCACAGAGGATATGTTTCCCCTTTAAAGCAAAGAACACATTCTGAAACCTCCTCCCATGGCCTTCCCACTCCTGTTTTCTCCATTTCAGTCAAGTACAATACTCAATGCCATGGAGTCAATGTTTCCGAGACTGTAACGATTTATGGGAGTAGAAAGCCCAGTCTTCCTCCCAAGGTGGTTTCAAACTGTTGACCATGAGAATCGCGGTGCAATACGTAACCACTACACCACCAGGACTCCACCAGGGCTCCAAGTCCAATACGGCTTCAAAAAGTTCATGGAAAAATCCCATTAAGGGGGAAAAGAGGGAGAAAGTGGAGCTGATAGCAATGATGACTATATAACCCTACGTAAGGGGAACGAATAACAGAATTGTAAGTGAATGGATACATTGGATGGTATAAGGTATGGGAAATACACACACACACATATATATATATATATACACATACAGACATACATACATATAATTAGGGTTCCTGGAGGTAGGGAGCTAATATCAAAGAGTTCAAGAAGAAAATGTTTTTAAACTGATAGTGGCAGCACATGTTCAAATTATGGGTTATAATATCTGTAAGAGCTCCCAATAAAATTAATAAATTTTTTGATTCAGAAAAATTTTATTAGATCACTGACCACATAATAATTGCTGTTTCACAGATTTTTATATAGGAGAATTTGTTTCAATCAAAAGAGCTTTTAAAGACAAAAGAAACAAAGGCTCATAGTATAAGGAGCATTTATACGTATTATTTGTATAAAATTAAATGATTTTGCATATTTAATATCCTATAGCATTAAATGTGTAAATGATGTATATTCTGTATATAACAATTAAGTGCAATACACCTTTCAGTGCATATGCATTCCAGAGGATGTACACGTACTTGATACACTTGGAGCTCTCTCTGAGCTAGCATTTATTCCCTCTGCAACTCAACTCATGGCAGTGTCATTCTGGAAGTGGGTGATATTAAAAATCCTGGCATCTAGAGTTTCTCTAGCCCCTGTGGTCCTTCTGAACAAACAACCTTTTGGGTATTTTTTTTAATTTGTTTTAAATTTTATTTTACTGGGGGTTCTTTCAGCTCATCACAATTCATACATATATCCATTTTGTCAAACACATCTGTATATAAGTTGTCATCATCTTTTTCAAAATATTTTCTACTTGAGCCCCTGGCATCAGCTCATCCCCCCCGCCCCCAAATAATTTTTTTTTAAGTGAAAGAAGAAAAATCCCATTAACTCTTAATTCCATTTTCCCCACAAATTCTTTTCAATTTGAAGGAGCCCAAGTAGTATAGTGATAACGTATTAGGCTTTCAACAACAAGGTCAGCAGTTCAAACCTGACCAGCCAGCCTCTCCTAGTGAGAAAGATAATGCTATCTGCTTCAGTAAAGATTTGCAGCCTTAGAAACCCAATGGGGCAGTTCTACTCTGCCCTCTAGCGTTGCTGTGAGTCACAATCAACTACATGGCAGTGGATGGGTTTTCTAACGACAGATAAATGGCCACTTGAGCTGTGAGAAAATTATGCTCCTGTACAGAATAGTTCACAAAAAACATTTAATCTAGAATATAGCTGGACCGATACTGTAGACAAGGCTATGAGTTCATAGATCTTTTAAGGACTATCCATTACCCTTTACGAAAACATGTTCTGTGACCCAAAGAACCAACTTAAAAATGAATTTTTAAACTGAAAGTTGGAGATTGTCCATAGTTCCCTATCTACTCACTTCTAACACACAATTTTTGTCTAGGAAAGGTGATACTGTACCTGGTCTCTAAATTCTCTTTCCTTCTGAGTGCTTTCACTCTATCTGAGTAAGTTGAACATAAAAGCAGCAAGCTGATGTCCAAAGAATGATCCAGTTAGGCCATATATATCTTCTCTGTTAGTAATCCAGCGTTTGTGCTGTATACTTACAGTCTGAATAAAACTGGCTCTAACTGGGTTGAAATCCAGGTGAGACTCTTTGCTAACTTGTTCTCATTTAATAATTTTTTAAATTACTTCCCATAACTTCAAATGTAACCAGAAAGGCAGGAGAAAATGGTAACTGTAACCGCTGCACACATGGTGTCAAGGCAACTAGCAACAAAAACAGCCTGCCAAAAAAATGTATGGAATGTTTTCTTAAAGGAGTCCTGGTGTCAGTGGGCTATGAATTGAGATGCTAACCACGAAGTCAGCAGATTCAAATTCACCAGTGGCTCCACAGGAAAAAGATGAAGTTGTTTAATCCTCTAAAGGTGTAAAGTCTAGGAAACCCAAAAGGTCAGTTCTACTCTGTTCTATAGGGTTGATCTGAGTCAGAATCAGCTCAACAGCAGTGTGTTTGGGAGTTTAGAATAATCTCTTGATGGTAGGTCTTTCAGAAATGGATGAACATGATGTATGTTTGTCTGCAAGGACAGAACTAACACTTTTTCCTGGGAAGGATACAACAATTGTATCGACTGCAGCAGGGTAAAGCTTAGCTCCAGGAGATGTTAAGCCAGGACACATGATATTTGCTCCACTGAGTACAAATTTGATGGCTCCTTTATCAACTTGCTGATGTGGTAATATAAAGGGATCTAGAAAAAAAGAAACGCATTACATCGTTTAGTAACGACTAGGGATACAACAGGAAAAGGCAAAGGGCATGAACTCATCTCCCGGCCCCCCAAAATTATAGTACTCAGGTGCGAAATAAAACAGATACTGTTTTTCACCTATCAAATTGATAACTGTTTTTAAGAAAAACAATCCCCAGTACTAGGATGTACAAGAAAACTTGCATTCCCATGCACTATTGGGCATCATCTTTCCGTAGGATTATCTGACAACATGCTTTTAGAAAGAGTCAAACTCTTTGACTCAGTTTTTCCAGACCTTTATCTTAAAGGGGAAAAGAGAAGTATAATGATGTTGGCTGCATGATTTTTAACAAACTGGAATCAACCTAAATGCCCAACAGTAAGGTAAGTTATAAATGACTTAAGATATGTCTCTTATCTATAAAATATAACTGTTTTTGGAGAATACTCCAGGCCATGGGAAATGTTCATAATGGAGAACCCAATTTAAAAAGAAAAAAAAAGTGTCTGCACATGCACACACACCACAAACACAAAGGAAATAATCAGATGAAAACATGCCAGTATACTAATGATTATCGCAAGGTCATGAAATTATAGGTAATTATTAGTTTGCTGTGTATATCTGTATTGTCCAAATTTCTATAATGAAATATATATATTTCATTTTATATCTATTTATAAAATAATCAGGGCTGTCTAGCAAAATAATAATAGGTAGTTTAATGCACTTTAATGCCTTAGCCCTAAACTTCCCAGTTGTTGCGGGTTTTTTTCCTACTCAAATTAGAAATTTAAAAGGACTCCAAAGTAAACATCTTACTGATAAAAAGGAACCCAGGTAAGTTCATTTACCACTCAAAAGCCATAATTTGTTTTCTAGCTCTTCACCCTCATTAATATCATACATTTAATAATAGTAATAATAATAAAGTTGTGAACATGTATTGAACAATTGCATCATAATAGCTACATTTATGGAACAATTACTACATCACTATAATGGCTATTGTATGTTCCAGGCATTGTTTAGGGGCTCTACTGCACTATCTCATTTAATCCTCAAAACCCTGAAAGCTATATACAAGTATAATCTCCATTTTAAAGATAAGGAAACAAGGCATAAAGAGGTTAAGTGATTTGTCAAAATGACATAATTAAATAACATAAGTAGGAAGTGAACCCAGCTGTGCCTAACTCAAATTTTATGCTTGTAATCATATCATCCTGCTGCTTTTTCAAGAATAACTTTAAGATTCTGAAAGGTTAGTCCCTAGCAAAATTTTATTAACATCTATTCTTCCCACAACGTATTATGAAAATGATGTTCAACATGCAGAAATGTTGGAAGAATGGTATAATGAATACCTGAACATCTACTTCGATTTAACAATTTTTCATTAACATTTTGTTATAGTGATGTCTCTATGTGTACCTTTTTCTATACCATTTAAAAGTAAACAAGTAACAATGAATATGAAATGTTCTGAAGTTGACTCTGGTGGTGATTGCACAACTCAATATGATTGAATGATTAAATTATATGATATATGAAACTAAAAAAAACCTGATAGTCAATTCATAGCGACTCTATAAAATTCTGACTATAATGACCCAATATAGGGTTTCTGAGGCTGTAAATCTTTACAGGTGCAGTCTCATCTTCCTCCCTTGGAGCAGCTGGTGGGTTTGAACTGCTGACCTTGTGGTTAACGGTACAAGCTTTACATCACAAGGTCACCAGGGCACCTATCCAGCACAATCCTCCACTATAAAAAAACATCTCCTAAAAATAATGACATTCTCCTATATAATTACAAAATAATAGCCAAACGATACTCAATTTTTCAACTGTCCCAAGGTTTTTTGTGTAGCTTGAATTTTACTGCTTTTTCAAACTAGAATCCAATCTAGGTTTACACAATCGATTTTCTCTTTGCTCTCTTTTATTTTTTTTAATATAAAAATGAATTAACATCACCAAAATGCCTTCACATTACCAAAATAATTACATTGGAAAACTCATTTTGTGAGCATTCAATTTCTCTCCATCCCAACTTCCTTAGCTCGGTGCAGTCAATCCTTAATCAAATCATTGTAATTATTCTTTTTTTTTTTTTTT